GGCAGGGGCTCAGGGGGGCGGCTCGCCGGGGGGCTACAGGGAGCGGGGTGGGGGCTCGGCAGGGGGCTGTGGGGCAGGGGCTCGGGCGGGTCGGCTCGGGCTACAGGGAGAGGGGCAGGGGCTCGGCGGCGGGTGCCGTATTGCAAGGATAGGGGGGCTCGCCAGGGGGCGCTGGCCCCAGGAAGGCTGGGAGTGGCTGCGACGGGGCACTGGGGCTAAGGCGCTGAGGTGGGGCTCTGCTCTGTTCTGTGTTTTCTCAGCCGGAGTCGGACGCCCTGGGCCCCGGCTCGCCCGCGCCGGCGGAGGACGAGGAGACTGACCTGAACAAGACGCTGGGGGTGGAGCGCTTCGAGGAGATCCTGCACGACTCGCACCCGCGCAACGGGGAGGAGGCCGGCCGCAGCTACGGCGAGGAGGATTTCGAGTGTGAGTGGGGGCAGGGCCGGGGCGCAGAGAACACGGCCCGGGGGAGGCACCAGGCCGGTTCGTTGGCTCCTGGACGCCTGTGAGGAGAGGCTCTGGCCTGGCCGGGCAGCGCTTGTTGTCGCAGGGCGGCGCAGTGGGGCAGCACGGGGGCAGGGCGTGGCGATGGGGGGCAGGGGAGGCGTGCAGGGTCTGGCCCCAGCTTGGTGCCCATGTCCACACCTACTGTTCCGCCCAGATCACCGCCAGTCGTCCCACCACATCCACCACCCCCTCTCCACGCACCTGCCCCCCGACGCCCGCAGGAAGAAGGGGGGGCAGAAGGGCAAGAAGAAGCGGCGCCGGGCGTCCATTCCAGGAGAGACCCCCACCATCGAGGAGGCGGAGGAGGATGAGGATGAGACCTGCGACACGGAGCCAGAGCGGTCGGCCGAGGACCTGCCCGGGGGGATCCAGGTACAGGGCTGGGAGCCCAGCAGGGAGCGGGAGGGGTCGGCTGGAGCAGCGAGGGGCGCTGGAGGCAGAGCACCGGTGAGGGGGCCCAGAGGAGTGGCTCTAGCTGCCAGGGCTGGGAGCACGAGGGCAGGGCCCCCAGGCCCTGCTGCTGCCGGTGCCCCAAGCCGTGTCCCTTCTCAGTTCTTCTTGCAGGAGGACGAGGCTGCCGAGCGCTGCCCAGCGGAGCCCACGACCCCAACGTCTCTGCCAAGCTCCCCCATGGAGCTGGGGGGGGCTGCAGCTACGGACCCCAAGGGGGCCGGGTGAGTGAGCGTGTGGGGACCGGCTGCACGGAGCGGAGCGGCAGGGGTCTTGGCACGGGGTGCCTGGGCGCTGGGACTCAAGGGCTCCTTGGCAGCTCGTGGTGGGGCTGGGCTCTGCCCCCCGCGGCTGGTGGCAGGGCCCAGCTCGGGACCCCAGCTCTGAGGCAGGTGTCTGTTCCAGCCCCAGGGCCGAGGAGGAGCGTGGGACCGATGGGCCCAGTGCAGACGAGCCCAGCTGCCCAGGCCGCCCTGTTCCCAAGTCCCAGCCGGGGCACCGGAGCTACAACCTGAACGAGAGGCGGCGCATCGGCAGCATGACAGGGGTGGAACAGGCCCAGTACCAGAAGGTGCCCACGGACGAATCGGAGGCCCAGACGCTGGCCTCGGCTGACCTGGACTACATGAAGAGTGAGTGCCCCAGGCCCTGGGCAGGGGGGGAAGGAGCGAGGGCAGGGGGCACGGCCCGGAGCTGGGCGTGTGCAGCCCCTGGCACAGAGGGGAGCTGGTGTGGGATGGGCACGTGGGTGTGAAGGGAATTCAATCAATGCAGCTCCTTACCAAGCCAGGCCGGGGGGACCATCCACAGGCTGCGTGTCACCGGTACCCTGTGGGCCCAGAGTGGAGGGGGCAGCAGGCTCCATGGGGGGCCCAACATCCTGACGCACCCCCACTCTGAGTGAGCCTCCCTGGTGGATCCCCTGTGCTGGGCCAGGGAAACTCGCTGCCCCCCCATACTGCCGCCCCCCATCGTTCTTACGCGGCACAGCGGCAGACAGGGTCCCTCAGCACCGCGGCCTGGGGCAGCCGCTGGGCAGCTCCGCCGGGTTTCCCCTGCAGGAGGTGGGCCTGGGCCTGGGGCCAGCCGGACAGCGGGGGCCGGTGTGTGATCCGGGCTCCCTCGCCTGCACCAGCAGGAGGAGAAGCTGTGGCTGAGAAACGGCTCCAGCTTCCCCCGCGCCAGGCTTAGGGCCACTGCCCGTCTCCCTATAGGCCACAGGTTCGAGGACGTGCCCGGGGTCCGACGGCACCTGGTCCGCAAGAGCGCCAAGGGCCAAGTCGTGCACGTCAGCAAAGACTACACGGAGCCGAGTGCCCGGCTCAGGAAACACAACCGGCAGCCGCACGAGGTGACTGGGGTGGGGCCGCGGGGGCAGGGGATGGTGGCTACAGGGGTTGGGGGGCAGGGGATGGGATGGAGGGCTATATGAGGTATGGGGGGCAGAAGATGGAGGGCTATGGAGTATGGGGGACAGGGGATGGGGACAGGTAGTGATCAACGGCTCAATGTCTAGTTGGCAGCCGGTTTCAAGCGGAGTGCCCCAAGGGTTGGTCCTGGGGCCGGTTTTGTTCAACATCTTTATTAATGATCTGGAGGATGGCGTGGACTGCACTCTCAGCAAGTTTGCAGATGACACTAAGCTGTGGGGAGTGGTAGATACGCTGGAGGGTAGGGATAGGGTCCAGAGGGACTTAGACAAATTAGGGGATTGGGCCAAAAGAAACCTGATAAGGTTCAACAAGGACAAGTGCAGAGTCCTGCACTTAGGACGGAAGAATCCCATGCACTGCTACAGACTAGGGACCGAATGGCTAGGTAGCAGTTCTGCAGAAAAGGACCTAGCGGTCACAGTGGACGAGAAGCTGGATATGAGTCAACAGTGTGCCCTTGTTGCCAAGAAGGCTAATGGCATTTTGGGCTGTATAAGTAGGGGCATTGCCAGCAGATCGAGGGACGTGATCATTCCCCTCTATTTGGTATTGGCCTACTGTGTCCAGATGAGTACGCGTTACTACAAGAAGGATGTGGAAAAATTGGAAAGAGTCCAGCGGAGGGCAACAAAAATGATTAGGGGGCTGGAGCACATGACTTATGAGGAGAGGCTGAGGGAACTGGGATTGTTTAGTCAACAGAAGAGAAGAATGAGGGGGGATTTGATAGCTGCTTTCAACTACCTGAAGCGGGGTTCCAAAGAGGATGGATCTAGACTGTTCTCAGTGGTGGCAGATGACAGAACAAGGAGCAATGGTCTCAAGTTGCAGTGGGGGAGGTCTAGGTTGGATATTAGGAAACACTATTTCACTAGGAGGGTGGTGAAGCACTGGAATGGGTTACCCAGGGAGGTGGTGGAATCTCCTTCCATAGAGGTTTTTAAGGCCCGGCTTGACAAAGCCCTGGCTGGGATGATTTAGTTGGGGTTGGTCCTGCTTTGAGCAGGGGGTTGGACTAGATACCTCCTGAGGTCCCTTCCAACCCTGATATTCTATGATTCTACAGGTTTCAGAGTAGCAGCCGTGTTAGTCTGTATCCACAAAAAGAAGAACAGGAGTACTTGTGGCACCTTAGAGACTAACAAATTTATTAGAGCATAAGCTTTCGTGGACTACAGCCCTGACCTGGACTACATGAAGAGTGAGTGCCCCAGGCCCTGGGCAGGGGGGGAAGGAGCGAGGGCAGGGGGCACGGCCCGGAGCTGGGCGTGTGCAGCCCCTGGCACAGAGGGGAGCTGGTGTGGGATGG